GGAACAGGATGAGATAAAAAAAAAAAAAAAAAAAAGAATAAAATACTGTGGAGGTGACTGTGGAGGCCCATTTGAATACAGTGAGCTCACTGTCATGTCAGGAAACCAGTCTGAGATGATTTCAGTTTTGTAACATGGAGTTTTATCCTGCTGGAAGCAGCCATCAGAAGATGGGTACACTGTGGTCATAAAGGGACGGACATGGTCAGCAACAATACTCAGGAAGGCTGTGGTGAATAAACAATGTTCAGTTGCTACTAAGAAGTTGAAAGTGTGCCAAAACAATATTCCCCATACTGTAAGACCCCAATCCTGAACCTTTGTTACAAGGCAGGATGGAGCCGTGCTTTCATGTTGTTTTTGCCGAATTCCTTTCATGTAGCAGCAGAAATCAAGACTCATCAGACTAAGCAGCATTTTTCAGTCTTGTATTGTTCAAATTTTGGTGAGTCTGTTTGTACTGTAGCCTGTTTCCTGTTCTTAGCTGACAGGGGTGGCATGCAGTCTAGTCTTCTGCTGCCAAGTTAGCCCCGCTTTAAGTGGTTATTTGAGTTACTGTTGCCTTCCTATCAGCTCAAAGCAGTCTGGTCATTCTGTCTTGGATCAGTTATTTCAACTTGCGAACTGCCACTCACTGGACATCTTCTCTCTGTAAACCCTAGAGATAGCTATCTGGGAAAAACCCAGTAGATTAGCAGTTTGTGAAATGCCAACAACCATGCCACATTCAAAGTCATTCACAGGATCATCTTGAACATGTTTACGTGCTTAAATGCAATGAGTTGCTGCTATGTGACTGCTTATTTAATATTTGTGTTAACAAACAGTTTAACAGATATAACAAATGAAGTGCCAAGTCCATAAAATTCAGTGAACTCAAACAGAACTTTATTAGCATTTTAGTACTTTATTTAATCAAGGTACAACCTAGTACACCTCTACTAATAAAAGTCTATTTGTAGTGTGATTTTTAAATAATACTTATTAGATTATAAAATGTCATCTTCTCTTTTTTTGCATTTCTTTTCAGTCTATTTTAAACAAACAACCAAACAAACAAAAAACGCTCAACATGAGGCCCCTGAGTTTTGTATGAAAAGCTGGTATTCATCACTATATTCACAGTTTGGCAAATAGCTTCCTAAAGGATCTGGTGCAGGCTGACATGCTGTGAGATAAATATGAAGTGTGGAATATTAGCTCTCTTCAGTGGAGTCACTGTTAGATCCATTTGGCACAAAATAATCAGTAAACAAAAATTTGTGTCACTAAACACCATAAACACAAATACAGCCATGTGACCTGGTCGGGCTGGGGAGAGTCCCCACTATCTCCCACGAGTCCAGCTCAGGGTTATATTTCTCGATGCTTTGAAGGTAAGTCCCTTTGGAGTACGAGTATCCACCTGTTACGTAAATACAACCATTTATTACCACGGCCCCACACTCCATCCTCCTCTCCTTCATCACCGATATCGGTCTCCACTCGTCTCTCTCTGTGTCGTAGCAGTCGGCAATCGTCGTCTGTCCACCCACCACATACAGCTTGTTGTTGAGAGACACAGAACACAGCCCGTACTCTGAAATGAGAGGAGTTCACCTTAGAAAACAGCATTTAATATACTCATGCTTCTGTTTGGTCTGCTTTAGCACGCATACCTGGATGGGGACTTATTGTAATGATGCTCCACTCGTTGACATCTGGTCTGTACACCTGTGTTTTTTCATAGGTGCAGCTTCCTCTGTAGCCATAATGACCTCCGGTTACATAGATTTTATCTCCCATTACACACGCAGTAGCATTTCCTACACCTTCAAAGAAAACAGAAATCATAAGCATCACTTGAACAGTCCAAACTGTCTATCACGTAAAAAAGATGATACCTTAAGTATGTGTTTTATCACTTCATTCATACAAAGTTATATATATATATATATGCACAGTGCAAAGGCACAGTTCACCCAAAATCAAAATTACATGTTTTTCCTCTGGCCTGTAGTGCCATTTATCCATCCGGATCATTTTGTATGAGTTGTTCAGATTAGTAGATATCAGCTCTATCAGATTCTGTTTTTTCTTTAATAAAATGGAAATAAATGGCACTTGACATCTGGTTATCAAAGCACCGTTTGGAAAAACTCAGCAGCCTTTGCAGAAACTGTGGCCTAGTCGTTCAAAAATCTGCAAACCTTGTTTCAAGCAGTTACAGTTATGAACTGCTCTATTATTTGCTAAGCTATACCCCCACAATTCATCTAACCATGCTGAAAAGCATGAGTTTGCAACAGTGTGACACTATCTAAACATTAATGGTGTCTCCTTCTGCTGAGCTGTAATGTTAGCTGCCTGCTTTGGGTGGTGGATACAATTCTTAATGTGAACTCTGTCAGCTTGCTGTTCTGTGCAGAACATATAATAAATAGCTGCTACCGTAAATGCTATGAGTCACATAAATGATTGTCAATGATACTGTTTAAAAAAACATATAATGACATTTGATTTTAATGCTCATTCTTGAACTTAGAAACAACAAGTTCCATGTATGAGCTGCTCAGGAGCTTTCAGTCAAAAATCACATGATCTTCATCAGCAGATGGTATTATGACCATGTGTTTTAAACAACAGCTTTTCATCCTATAAGAAGCCCATAAAGAACTCATACAACTCCACTAAATGGACCTTGTGGTGAAACTGCTTTCTCTGCCTTCATTTATTCATATCCTGCTCATCATTTCAGCCCTGGAGATAACACAATCCCAGTATTTCAGCATACCTTGGATCATTTTGGCCACAGGGAACCATTTCTTTTTTAAAGGATCATAAAATTCGGTGTCTCGTTCTGGAGCTCCTCCCCGGTAGCCTCCGATGGCATAGATGCAGCCGTGCAACGCCACAGAGCAATGGTAGTACCTGGCTGTAATCATGGGGCAGCCCTCAGTCCATTCATCACAGTCACAGTTATAAATTGAAACAGTGTCCAGGGCCTCAACAGTGTTTGTCTTGTAGCCACCTGTCACATAGATATTTGCACCAAGTAAACTGACGCTGTAGCTCTCTCTTGCATGGTTGGGCATGTCCTTTCCTTGCACCCATGTGTTGCTGATAGGATCCCAGATGTGGACTTCACAAAGAGGGTGCCAATAGTACCCTCCAATGATATACATGTTGGCAGACATTTTTCTAGCCGCAGGTATCTCTTTTCCATTTGACCTTAAAGCCTGGATGATTATAGATTTCAATTTCCCATCATTCTTCTTTAAGTATTGTCTATACACGTCTAACGTGGTCTTAAAGTAAATCTCATCCAGATCCAGATGGATGGAGTGTAGCATAATTGACACGTGGTGCATGCGATTATCTAAGTCATGGTTTACCCATGTGGCGACAGCATCTATCAACACTTCATCTTTCTGCACAGTGAGGCTCTGTACAGCCAAGACTTCTCTCATCTTCTCAGGGTGCAGATCTAGAAACTCCTCCTGCCGAATGAGCTCCGGGAACCTGCTCAGCATCACTCTGCGTGCCTCCCTCTCCAGCCCAGGGCACAGGTGCAGCTCAGCGAAAGCGTGCATGCCCAGGCAGTTGTCCACATCCAGGAGGCGAATGAGAAACTCCTCACATGCTTGCTTCACAGGAACGAACTGCAGCAGGTCTGCAGCCTCCAGCAGGCTCTGTACGTTGCTCTCAGTGATGCACACCTGAGCAGTGTACACATAGTCCACCAGAGCACCCAGCACCTCGTAGTCTATGCCGCTCAGTTTGATGACGCTGTTTGATCTCTCCTTCATGTCAGCTGTGAACATGACTTTGAAATAGGAGCTGCGGGCTGACAGCAGCGCCTTGTGGCAGTGAAACACCTGTCCCGACTCGCCACACTGCAGAGCGACATCGGTAAACAGCCCGCTAATGTAGAAGTGCCTGAGCGCATCCAAGAGCTCTGCCGGATGGTCACCATCACAGAAGTCATATGTGTAGATTTCGGCTTGTTTATGTGACATGATACCTAGAAAAGAGAGATGGAGAAAGTATGTGTCTAATGTAACCCAAACACACACACACACACACACACACACACACACACACAGTGGGCTGGCGAACATCAAAGCAATACCGAGGCGTCACATTCCCATTTATAATTAATTGCAGTGTGACTGGTCATAGAAGAGTCTTCGCATTTACGCTTTAATCCATGTATCCAAGCAGACACACTGCTTGATTACCACTCACCCTATTTCCATGAATGACTCGAGCTTTTTTTTTTCTGTCTCTCCTTCCACACTGTCCTCAAGCTCTCCCGTCTCCACCACACATGAGCCTCAATTTAGCTCACGCAGGACAGTCGCAGGCAGGCAGCTCGATCCTATTTTGGTATTTGTGAGCAGCGTCCATAACCCCCTCCTCCTCCTCTCTTCTCCTCTCCTCTGCTCTGTAGTCTCAAACAGCGGGTCCTTGACAAAACTCCTTGAGAGGAATCACCCAACCCCACCGTTTTCTCTCAGAGTCTAAATATAACCTCCATCCATCCACAGTCTCGTGACGCGCTCACGAACGGCACATTTTCTGTGCACCCAGCAGGCGCAAACAGAATACAAATAGTATACAAATGAGCGTCGCTTTTTACTAGGGCGCAAGAAGGAGAAAGGGAAGACGACGACGAAGAAGAAGTCATTGCACTGGTCCATTCATGTGTTCACCATTCTTGGCGTTGCCATGGTATTCTGAACCCAATTCGAGTGCGGTAAAGGCTTTAGCTAATCCTAACGAGGATTAACAGCACAAGGCTGCAGAGACGGAATATGTGTTAATCTCAGCAAATGATATATAATGAAAAATATTACTGCATTAGAACTAAAGTAATAACAGAGCCTTTGTAAAACCTTTTTCTTTTTTAAAAGACAGATTGTTTTTTGTGCCCCATAACAAGCCGCCTGGGTTTACAAAGCAACAGAGAGGACTGTCACTGCTGTTACCTGAGAGTTTAACGCTTAATGCTGAATTAAAGGGGACAGCGGTGCAGACTGGACTCAATGCATAACTTAATGGCTAAGTGACAGAGATTTGACTGGCAACTGTTTTGCATAAATGTTCATAAAAAAGTTACCTTCCGTGAGACATGCTGTTTCTTTTCTTTTTAGTCCAATGAAGGATTTTATTCATGAATTTATTCTATCGTTTAACTGTTGTTAAAATGAGCCCTGCGACGGTCCATCTCAGTATTTTCTGAACGTTTAACTTATAAATCAAACGAATGAAGTTGATAAAACAGCCAACTGAGGTAAAATATCTAATTAAACTTTCAAAATGAATCAAACTTTGTCTTGTGTTACAACATCATAACATTTTATGTAACACAGTAGTAAGTCTGTGTGAACGGGTGAAATTGTTTAATTTTATATTAACGTGCAAAAAAACTTGAGCTAACTTCTTTATAGTTTGCTTCCAATGAGCCAGACTTGTAATTTTGTTTCAGGTGGTCTTAGGGGATAGCTCTGTGGGCTTTCTGAAGGCCCTTTGCACATTGGCTGCTTTTTCACTTATTTTCAGTCCAGCTCTTGTACCTCACAATTTTCATAGGGATTTTTTGTTTTGTTTCGTTTTGTTTTGTTAAGCACTTTAACATTGATATATGAATCATTCAAGCATAAAAAGCCACCTTAATCAAGGGATGAACCAGTGTTGTGTCTACACATAACAGACAACTTAGCAAAGAACCAATAATAAATTGTATCTTTAGCCACTTTATTGTACAAACACCTAATTTGTTCCTTTAGTTGAATCTATGAAAAACTCCATCACAGTTTGACAGGCATTGCAACAACAGCATGATTTCTAAAGAGCTGTTAGACAAAAAAAAAAAAAGGCATATCTCAGCATGCCATTCACTGTGTCCTTAATAAAAATTAAGAAACTGGACAAGCAAAGGACAAACAAAAGCTTGCAGGCCTAAAAAAAAAAATCAAACCCTGTGTTCAGCAGACAAACAGTATCTAAAAGTCATGTTCTTAAGAAAGAAGGGGGGAAAAACAGCAAAGACCTGACACAGGACCTGAGAGATGCTTAAGGTCCTAAAGTTTATCCATCTACTGGTGACATTAGAAATCGTCTCAAGGTGGCTGTCAAGAAGTCGTTCTTAAGGAAGGGAAATGAGGAAGAAAAGCCTGAGGTATGCAAAATTACACAAAAACTTTACTGAAAATCAGTGACAACAGGTTGTTGAAGAGTGAACAATCCAAATGTGAAATGCTTGTTTCAAATCCATCATCCGATATATGGATGCAGAAGAAGGACTGTTGTATCTGACATTAACCACAAGCCATAGAGCTTTGCTGTGGATTAAACAGATTGCTGTGTAGGCTGGACTAACTGCATGACTGATTAGGCAGCGGACAAGATTGAATTAAGTTTTTCATGCAACGATTCCACAGATTCCATTATTTAATCTCTTTATTTATTTATTGTTGAAAACTACACTACTGTGGCATCCACTGTTGTTTTCTGGGAGGATGGAGTAAAATATATCATGCTTAAGGATTCAGAGAACTGAGCATATGCACTGCATGTGGTAGGACTCATATTTTCTGAAGGTCTACAGAAAATATAAGTGAATGCCTATTTCTGGCTACTCTGTTTTGAGACAATGAGCTGAAATGTATTCTTATTTAGAAGTGGAAAGTAGTGAGATGAGATGATCTAAAGTGAGTGAGATTTCCATGATGCCACAGGAACAGATTTACATGTGAAAAAACTTGTGTTGTTGCTTGCTTGCTACAACCTACAAAGCAGCTTTCTGCCACTAGCTCTGGGATGTGTTGTGCAGCCCTTTACTGTGTAATCTTACCAAATATTAACAACAGTGGGGCAAAAAACCCCCCCATAGAACCGACACAAATCACACATTGAACATTTTAATAGAGGAATTATTGAAGGGCTGTCGTACTGAACTCGAGCTGTGTAGTGAAGTATTTTTAAAATCTAAAAATATAAGGCGTTCATATTAGAAAGTCTTCTTTAAAAGGATCACACAACAAACTGAGCAGCGTACAACAGACATTTTTATTTAATTTCTACTTCTACAAGTTAATAAAAACATCTAAACACTGGAATGTTATAAAATGCAGGTTTTAAACTGCAACTTCTGAACAAGTTGTTAGCTGTAAACACAAAGACCGGATCATTTATATTAGACGCTCCTGAAAATGTTACAGATCTCACATTCTGAATGCTATTCAGTGCCTCTGTAAGTGCTTTGCGCTGCCATTTAAAAGCTGAGCTGCGCTGCATCCTTCACCACGGAGTTCAAGGCACTGAGATCTCTCAAGAGCGAGGACACCCCCACACAATACCACAGATCCCCAGAGCGGTCTGCAGGAGCACTGAAAGACTCAATCTCCACTCCCTCTGTGGCCAACACTCCTAAACAAAGAACAATTGAAGAGAGAAAATAGGTGTGAATGGAAAGAAAAGAAACATTGGTGAAGGGTACAATTTAGTTCTCATAACTCAGGGCCAGCTTTCATCTAAATTCAAACTCAAAAACAAATGTGCGCAAAGAAGCAGTTGAGGAAAAACAACAAGAATGCATGCTTTGTTTTCAGACACACATTTTAACAGTATATATAGCCCAGCATTGTCCATAATGTCCAGCAGTTCTTTTTAGTGTCCTTTTCTCTGCCACTGTCACCAGAGTGTCCAGCTTCATGCCAACCACAGAGCCAGCCTTCCTGATCAGTTTCTCCAGCCTGGATGAGTCCTTCTTTGCTGTGCTGCTCCCCCAGCACACCACAGCATAGAAAAGTACTCCAGCAACCACTGACTGGTAAAACATCCTCAGGAGCTTCCTGCAAATGTTAAAAGACCTCAGCCTCCTGAGGAAGTACAGTCGGCTTTGGGCTTTTTTATACAGGTGCTCTGTGTTGCATGACCTGTCCAGTTTGTTGTCCACCCACAGCCCGAGGTGCTTGTACTTGTTGACCTCCCTCTCTATCTGAACTGGCAGTGGACCTGCTCTGGATCTCCTGAAGTCCACAACCGGTTCCTTAGTCTTTGAGGTGTTGAGTTGTAGGTGGTTTGTGTGACTCCATGCGACAAAGTTCCTCACCAGACTTCTGTACTCCTCTTCCTGATCATCCCAGATACACCCCATGATGGCTGTGTCATCTGCAAACTTGTGGCATAATTCAGAGTTGTAGCAGAAGTCAGAGGTGTACAGGGTGAAGAGAAGAGGGGACAGCACAGTTCCCTGTGGTGCTCCTGTGCTGCTGACCACAGTGTCAGACGTCTTTATATTGTGTTTAAGGTTACTGCCTTAGCCTCCAAAACTGATGGAACTAATGGAAGTCATAAATTAATTTGTAAAAGACTGAAAAGAAACTTTTCTCAGTTACTGATCGTGAATGTTGAATATACATTTGAATATACAATGAGGGAGAGTTTGTGCATTCTTTCTATTGTCCAGCAGGTGGCGACTCTATTGCACTACTGGGTTGGACCTGCTTTTTCTCTCGCTTAATACTTTGTTGCACGGATTCAAACAGGTGCTGAAACAAACCAGTATTGATATGATAGAATTGCACAGTTGCTACAGATTTGTTGGCAGCACATATGTGCTTCCACCATGTCCCAAAGCTGCTCTGAGATTTGATGACTGTGGAGGCCATTTGTGTACAGTGAAATCTTTTATATTCACAGATGATAGTTTTGGTGTCTACATTTTCTTACCAGCCAGTGAGGACAGGAGTTGAGGATTCGCAGGGGCCTTAAAGAACAGCAGATTTCCAGTGAGGGAGATGGGCTGTCTGAACACGCTGTTGCACAGCTCCAGGAGGACAGGCGCTCCACCTTGAACTGAACCGCTGGCTTTGTAGCTGCAGCCATTGGCCACAATCTCCACCTTACACACGCCTTCAGCGGCCCCGGCAGATGCACAGTGGGCCTGGTAAACCTGAAGAAGTTGAGATAAAGGAAAAAGATTTATTTGACATATATTCCACTTGTTTTTCTCATGTTTTATTTGCCTGAATAAATTGACGGTGTACCGTGATTCCGGTTTCCTTAGCTAAGCTCAGCGCGTTGATGAGGTTCGGGCAACATCCTGATTCATGATTGAGTAAACCCACCAGCACAGCTGAAGTCATGTAACCAGTGCAGGACTTCATGCAATCCCCTGGTTTGTCAAGCAGAGTGCAAAAAGCTTTTAATTACAGGCAAAATATTTTAAAGTAAAACTGTTGTAGAAAAAAAAAAAAGACAAAAGAAATTACACAGAAATGATATTCCTATAATAGCTTCTAAACCCACACGACTGATTGGACAGTTTCACTGTGACACCAGCAGAGGGAGGAAAAGCTGCTTCCTAGTATTTTTCCTTCCTCTCCTTGAGGTCGCTTGGTTACAGGAAACTAGTTAAACCAGAAATGTTACCTTGTGTAGTTATTTGAACGTGACTGAATGGTTTCTTAGACGCGCTGAAAGACTGAAGAACAGATCCAACGGCTTCTCCGAGTTTAATCAGTTGCTGCGACTCCTGGGAGAACGTGCTAGCCAAGACCTGAGCATTTACCTGCATAAGGAGAACAGTTTAAAATCTGTTACAAAATCATTCTTTTTTCTTTTTTTAAAAAAAAGGTTATAATTATTTATTTTTTAAACAATTTTTTTTACCAATACCCTCCAAATGTGATCAAACTGGACTATCTACTGATACTGTTTCCTGCTCAGTCTCTGTTTCTTTGTATGTATCACCACTGTTTGCTTTATGTTTTTTGTACAAAACAAACAATAAAATATATCCGTTTTAAAGCTCCAGATGTCCAATGTGCAGCTGTCATATTCAAAATAAACTGCAGCACTGACGGCACATGGAGTAAAAGAAATAAAGAAAAATTTAACTCACAAATTCCCGAGACTGACAGTTTTCTGCGAGCATTGCTCGCTTGTCTTATTTCCAGAAACAGTGCTGCTGCAGTTTTATTTTTTATATTCTTCACAGCTTTATAATCATCTGCTTATCTGATAATACTTGACATATTCTGCTGTCCTTTGTGTGCAGATGAAAAGTGAAATGACGCATCAAATTCCCACTTTATGGCAAGTGTGGAAAGAACCCGAAGCAGAAAGCCTGGCTTAACAAAGAAAGCTAATAACCACAGTCTGTAAAACAGTCCACTACTTCCTGTACAGATAACTGTGGGTATGAAGTCTGATTTGTTGATAGTGATGCTTTTGAAGTTTGAGACTATTTAGGCTTCTTTCTTAGCGATTCATTTTACACAAATCCGCCAAACAATCCCTTCAGTAGCCCTTTAGCAAATTTATAACTCTGGTCTGAGGAGTTATTTTTTTAAACACAGTATTAAGAAGAGCATGTAGGACTTACTGCTCCAACCAGGTTCTTTCCCTTCACCATGTCCACGATCTGCAGGGCAATGTCCTCCCCACAGCGAGCCTGAGCCTCCTTCGTACTGGCTCCCAGGTGAGGGCAGCTGATAACATTGGGATGCTCCACCAGTGAGTGGTTCTTAGGTGGCTCCTGTAGCCAAAAACATAAAGAAAATGTGAAATTTAAGCAACAACATCTCTTTATTTAATAAAAAAAAGTCAATCAATCAATTTGACAAAAAGAAAAACCTCCACAAAGACGTCAAGGCCTGCTCCTCCACACTGTCCAGACTTCAAGGCTCTGAGCAGAGCCTCCTCATCGATGATGCCCCCTCTTGCACAGTTCACAACCTTCACGCCTTTCTTGCACTTGGCAAAGCTTTCATCGTTAAGCAGACCTTGGGAACATCAAAGAGAAATTCCACATCTTGCTGATGGACTTTGCGCCACCGTTATAATCGACCGACATATGATTGGTGTTTAGCTCACCGACAGTAGAGGGCAACAGGGGAGTGTGGACAGTGATGTAGTCACACTGGGGCCAGAGCTGCTCCAGAGACATCTGTTCCACTCCCCAGCTGGCTGACACCTCTGGAGGAGTGATTGGATCATAGCCAATAGTCTGTTAAGGAGAAAACAACCTGTAATCTTTTTATGTCTGTTTATTTTAAATATCACAGTAACTGTGAGCAGATATTGTATGCTGACCTTCATGCCAAATGACTGCATCCTCGAGGCGACCTCCTTTCCTATTCTTCCAAGTCCGACTATTCCGAGCACTTTGCCATACAGCTCTGCGCCCATGAACTGAAAAATCGGAAGCAAAACAATGACCCACCTCCAAAAATCTCAAAGTACACAGATCCAAGTGTCCCATCTGATTATTCACAACTGAGTGGACAATGGAGCCAACCATGCAACAGTAATGGCTTGATGCTCCCAGTGCAAACAGCCGTTCAAACGGCACACTGGAGAGCAAGTGAAAATGCTTTTACCTTCTTGCGATCCCAGTTTCCTTGCTTCATTGACATCGCTGCTTGTGGCACGTTTCTGAAAACAGATCAACGTAATAATGGAATATTACTGCACTTCAATTACAACCACAGAGCTTCTCGGCAATTGTTCAGAAATGACATGACTCGTCTTGCCTTGAGAGGCTCATGAGCAGAGCACACGTCAGCTCAGCAGCACTGATCGTGTTGCCACTCGGTGTGCTGCAGAAAAACAGAGTTATAAAGTAAAGTCAGTGGTATACTGGAACTGCACAGTGAAGAAAATCTGCATTTAAACTGGAGGCTTACTTCATGACAATAATGCCCTTTTTGGTGGCGGCAGGAACATCTACGTTGTCCACACCGGTCCCAGCTCTTCCAATAATTTTGAGATTATTAGCAGCACTGACAACATCAGCTGTTACCTTGGTTGCAGATCTAACCACGAGGCCATCATAGTCCTGAGATTCAGAAAAAAGCAGAGCTGTTTTAAATACACCCAATAGTTCACACAGAGTCAATGGGTGTCAGTTATTTTGAGCAGCATAAAAACTGTGAACCAGTCAAAACTCCCATGCTAGGATATGATATACTTACTAAATAATTCTCATTAATTCCTCATTTCTAACACTGATCTTTGGCCTGTTTTATGCCAAATGATTTACCTATGTCCAACCAGAAGTGTTACAAGACAGGTTATAGTGGTTTTTTTCCCCCTGTTACAATGTAACAGGGGGGAAAAAATGTTTCCCATTGCCAGGGGGACACCTGTTAACCATGCAAATAATTTTTTTCCACAATAAAATGTGATTTTATCTCTCTGTCTGTGTCATGTCATGACATGACACAGACTTTGTTGGTCAAAGCTTGGAGAAGGTGTTGTTTCAGGTGCCGAGTTCTGGGTTTGAATCTGTCCCAAGACCATTCACTGTGTTTCTTTTCCCTGCTCTCAGATTTCCCTCGCTTCTTTCCACTTTCATGTCTAAATACAGACTAAAAAGCTAAAACAAAACAAACAAACAAAAAACAAAGATCTTAAAAAAAAAATTTTAATGGTTGAAACTGCAGCAGTCAAAACTGATCAGGCTGCAAAATGACATCTGACTGATAACGTTGCTAAATAGTTGTCAGCAGAGTGCCAAACAACATCTGGTTCGTGTGCACACACTACTATTACCAAATGTTATTCGTATTAACTATAAAGGACACTTTTAAGCCGCTTATGTTGATCTTCATGTAAATTCTATCCCATTTGTTGCATGGTGAATTAGCTCAGTGTGAGAGATGAACACTTTGAGCACTTCAATTTAAGACTAGATGCTGAGAAAGTACAGCCATCCAATGGTCATTCAACATTGAAATGTTTATTGAGAATAGGCTAAAATACATTTTTAAAAATAAATACATTTTGGACTACGGGGGCTCCAAAAGGCTCACAGCCCCAGGGTGTACAATAATGTTAAGACACCCCTGCAGGGGCCTGTCATTTAGGGCACCAGAAGTTTTAGAGCCAGCCTTGTACAGTCCATTCAGCTTGTATGAGAACAGCTCATCATTTCTACAGCTCATCATTTCCAATCTGACAAATTGAATTTGTTCAAATATTCTTAGACATACACACATTGGCTCTGTGGAGAAAATGTGGGATTAATGGAACAGTTTGGGTTGGGGGTAGAAGTGGAATCAATGGCCGCCCGATGCACTTGCAGCAGATAGGAGGTCTGACTGTGCGGCAATAGTCACAACACTACGAATGAGTTGCATCAGCTTCACAATGGGCGGTACTAACCGAATAAATCAGTTTTTAACTGGCTGTCGGGATCATTTAATTACACGTGTCAGGTTGAATTGTGTTACGGAATAAAAAATGCCGGCTGCTAGTCCGCAAAAACTTTTTTTAGGCGTGCAGGGGCACATGTGCACCGATTAGAGCGAAGACTAAACTAGACTAAACTTTATAGAAACCTGCTTGGTAGGAAGAAAAAAATAAACCCGACAGCGGGTGCATGTGAAGAAATTACGCAATATAACGCAGAGTGCCATTACTACCTTTATCTCCGCGATTAATTCATCCTTAGTCATGTTCTGCTTCTCCGTGACTTGGATGCCATTTTCCTCCAGAATCGCCTTGCAGCGAGGGTCGACACTTTCACTAATCAGCACGGTTTTGATGGAGATCGGGGCCATCTTGGTGTTTTCTCTGCGGGTCGCTCGCTGGTGGGCCACCGGTGGGTGCTGAGTGATCTGGGAGAAGAGATGGATGGATGGATCGGGGAGTTGCTTTTTTTTTTTCTTTTTTTTTTCCTTCTGCCGGTTTTGAATGGTCGTCTCTGATTTAAGACGCCCCCTTTCTACGTGGATCCGCCTTCAGCTCTCAAAGCATAGAAAGTCAAATCCGAACAATGCATACTGGAAATCCTGGAAATGGCCTGCATTCAAAATAAAAGTGCAGAAGTACTCTAACTGAGGCTAATACTGGCTTTTGGTTTGTAAGACTACACGTAGTGCTGGTTCAAGGTTAGCAACAGCCTCCTGTTAAAATGGATCAGCGTTATTTATTATTTTGCATATTTGTCACACATACATGTAAATACAAAAAGCAGTTTTTAAACCATAATTCAAATTACTAAGTGAAAAAAAGCTATTCCTAAACCTGATAACTACTTGTGCCACTTCTGCAGCAAGAACTGCGATCAAGCTTTTGTGATGACTGGCAATGAGTCTTTCACATTTCACATGGAGGAATTTTGGCCCACTCTTCTTTGCAGAAATGCTTTAACTGAGCCACAGTGGGAGAGTTTAAGGTCAGGTCAAAACATCTCAATCTTCCATCTAACCTTCCTTTTATTTTTTTTTTGGGGACATTCAGTAGTGGACTTGCTGGTGTGCTTCATATCACTGTCCTGCCACAGGCTATCACACTACCACCACCATGCTGATGTGATGTTTTGTTTTTAAATGAAATGCTGTATTAGTTTTATGTCAGATTTAACGGGACTCAAAGCTTCATAAAAATTAAACTCATAAGGTTTCTTTTGGTGAATGTGAGATGAGCCTTTGTGTTCTTTTTGCTCAGCGGTGAGTTTCTCTTTGGAGTTCTCCCATGGATGATATTTTTTACCCAGTCTCTTTCTTATTATTGAATAATGAATGCCGACTTTAACAGAGGCAGGTGAGGCCTGCAGTTGAATTATTTTATGTCTTACTGGAGTCATGTCATGGAAGCACCTGAAACAACAGAACGCAGTCATTTGGAGTAATTTTCATTTCCATTTTCAGACGGATAGATGTCAATGACTTTGTTTCTCAGCTGTTTCTTTAGATTTTGAGAGCTTTTAGCCTTCTTCTAAAGTGATTTTTGGATTCAACAAGTCTGGCAGCAATAAGGCTTCGTATTAGCTAATGAAGCTTAACTTTCCAAAATCAATGGTTTATCACAGTTAATTCATTATTCCGTTTCACATAGGGCCAGGCTTGAAAACTTTTTTCCCTTGATAAATGAAATCCTCATTTAAAAAATTCTATTTACTTGGATTTTATTTGGATAGGGTGTTTTATTTTGTACATACTTTTATTTGTCAACTTGAGATTTTCTTTAACTGATTGCTAGCTTTTATTTTATATGATGGGATAGGATATATTTCCTTTATGGCAAAGATGGAAAATGCTTTTGTTAGAGCAGTTAAAAACTAAGACAAACACACAGTACATATAAGAAATAGTTGCAATAAGTAGAATGATATGTTGCCGAATAATACAGAATAGGACAAAAATATATCAGTAAGTATCAAACTAATCTAAACAGATACATATACTGAAGGGAAATGAGTGTAAACTGAAATAAAAATAATATATAAAAAGGTAAAATATTGTAAGTTCAATAGAGCAGCAATGGCTTATTAAATGTAATACAAGCAGTATAGCAACTATCAGATGATATTAAGGTTACTCACTGTAGCTTATCCATACACCAATCCCTAACTCGAGACTCTAAACGATGCATAGTTTTTAGTTATACCAGGGATAATATATGAATTGTATGCTGTACAAACTAGAAAAAATGAAATTGAAAGATTGCAAATAAAAGTAAACACATAAACCACATTCATAGCTGGAAAGGGATACATCTTTAGTTTGTAAGTACTATAAAGTACTTTACCTTTACTAAGTAGAAACAGTAGAAAAATATTATTCTTAGCCTGTCTCCGACGTTCAGTGAAACTCTGCTACAAATTGAAAACAAATTCTAATCATGAGGTGTTGATTATGCTTATTTCTAGATCCATATTTTGTTTCTCAGAGTTTACCAGCATAGCCTTGTATGAAACACAGTTCAGAATAACCTTCAAAACTCTATCAAATAACTGAGTATAAACTATAACAGCTGAAACATAAGTAGCAAAGTAAAGGATCTGAGAGATGTGATCACCTAAAGATCAAATTGGTCCATAACTCTCCCCATTTAACAGTAAGTCAGGTCAGGCGAGTCTTAATTCAACAGACACTGTTCATCACCTGACTCATTAGGCAGCACATGACAGGCCATGTTTCACTGCTGGCTCAGTAAATTTAGCACATCTGTCATGGTCACACAGCTGCATATGCACAAAGGACCAGATTTTACAATGGATTTCATAGACCAAGATCTTAAACAAGAGTAAAGACAACAAAATGACTTAATCTGAAATTGCCAGGAGTCCTATTACAAACCATAATCACTGATCAGAGACTCCGTCTTTGTCATCAGATTTCCCATCATGTTTAATTAGTATACTGTAAATAAAAACTTTATGAACCATTCATCTATTACTTTCAGTTACTCTTTTAACATTTTTTCATAACTACAGGCTTTGTCAGTGGGCATATTTTGACACATCAGAGTAGTAAAAGTAGTAAAAACTGAGCCCTAACTGTCTGCACATGAATCACAGGAGGACTCAGCCTGAAGACTCTGCAATGAGAAAAACTTTACCTGCTTGTTGTTTTTAATAAACCAAACATTGTACTTTACAGGGTTCTGGTCTATGTTTGTAAGAAAAACAAACAAACAAATTTGTACAAAGTACAAATGTGGTGCTTAGAAAAAATGTATTTACATATTTGATGTTGTTTTAAACCATAGACAAGATTGTTCTTTCTAAGTTTAGACAACCACTTTTCTCCTCAGTGAGATAACTGAACATGCATCCCCATGCAGAAATTGTGTATAACTGAGGAAAGATCACAAAAAAACGTGTGTCACGCCATTCATTTTCCCTACTTTATTACATAATGAATTCGGAGTGTGTACGAGTGTGTATATATACACTCGACTGCGGTATAAAAAACTGTTGTAGCTCAATGGATTTATTGCCTACTAATTTGAGAAAAACAGAGCTTTCTCTCTGTGTTCACATGCCGATGTTCCGACTAATCCCTTCCTGAGCCCCGCTGACCCTCCGAGGGCTCTGCCTATCAGTATTCAGAGGATGATTCTGATTGGTTCCGTCATTGCCTGGATACCACGCAACAAACTCAGGCTACGTAGAGCGGACAGTCTGACGAACGCCAGCTTTCAACTATAATAAAATCAAAGAAAATCTTTACTTTGTTTTTTGTGTTTGACATTATTTTCTATCATAGTAGCGACTCCATCCGATAGGAATGGCAGCGGTGGTTCTGTACGGCCGTCGAAGAGGAGCTAGTAAAAACGGTGAGAGCCAAACAAACATTTCAAAGTTTATTCAGTGTAGTTATATAGTTAACCTTTGCTACCAGAGCCGTTTTAAGCCATTATAGAACCAAAAACTCTAGATGGAGCCGAATGTAATGCT